CGACTGTGTGGCTGTGGTGTATGCGCTGAGCCAGTTCAGACCATACATTTACGGAGTACCATTCACCATAGTGACAAACAGCTCTGCCCTAAATTGGCTGATGGATTCCACCAACCCAACAACCCGTCAAGTAAATTGGAAAACTTTCCTGAATGACTACTCGTTCGAAGTCGAGATAAAAAAACAGAAAGGTGCCCAATTGGCCGACGCGTTTGCTGAAAATCCATTGGAGGAAAGAAACCCTCAGCCAGTACTCCTCGTTGTGTGTCTACCCATAACCCCGAGGAACACACTAAAACCAAGTTTGAAGCCTCCTCGTACAGTCACCAATCCGAATCTCCGCGTCAGGATCAACAGTGAACCCGAAATTGTTGGCACCAAAAACTCCATTGCTGACCGAGTGAGGATGAGAAGAGCTACCCTAACATCAGATACAGCTAGAAAGCCGATCTCTTACCGAGACAAAAGGGAATACCGCCCCAGTTCTAACCGCAAGCCATCACACCCCATGGAATCTCCATCGACCGCGGAGATTACGGCAACGCCTACTACCAAACCTCCACCAACTGTTAAAGACCACGCGGAAGACATCCCAACTCCCACGGTTAATACTCAACCCAGCGTTGAGCCTGCCCAGAGGATTACAACGACTTCAACTTCAACGCCTCAAGTCATTATTGAAGCTCCTGAAGAGGTCGTCATTCCCAGCAACGATGTGGAAACCCTTGAAATTTCGGTACCACCAATCCCAACCGTCACATCAGAAGATGCCAACTTAGAAATGTCCGTGGAGGGCGAGCCAACTGAAGAACTTGAAGATGAAGTTTTTACTCCAGATCAGACACCACTGACTAACCATCAAAACATCCTGCAGACTGATCCACTAACAGACTTGGAAGACGATTCAGAAGAAGAACAAGACTCGTTCTCCGAACCATTCAACTGCAAAAGTCTCCACCGAAGTCTCCAAAAATTCGACGAGTTCGTAGAACGTCACGATGAAGACCACCAAGATGTCAGCGATTCTGAGCCAGATTTTGAATTTGTTCCACCTCTGAACATGTATAAACAACAGAAAGACACCTTAGGATCAGAATTCAACAAAGATCTCCATGCATTCTACGAAAAATTGAATGAGAAAATGCTTCAGTTCGAGAATAAATCCTTACCTCTCGTAAATTCGACCGATGGAAATTTGAAGGAAAAATTCGATGAAATGACCACCGAAGAATTACACGATGCTATCATCAAATTCAAGGACAGAGTCGATGGAAGGATACGCGCGAGAGGAAGTGAAGGAGAAAACACCGCTTTGGCACAAGATGCAACTCCTGCCAAATCCGAACCCGCCGCACCTGAACATGATGATACCATTACATCTGAAGAGGCATCAGAAGAGACCAACAAAATACCGTCGACTAGACACTCAGTCATCTCCCAACCCAAAAACATCCGAGAACCCTTACTCCCGACCCCAAGGGCTATTCAAAACCCAATGGCGGGATCGTCCCCAACAAAGACAGCCGTAAGAGAGACAATCAAGAGTCCTAAGGAGCTATTTCCTGAGAGAAGAAACAATACATCCGAGCCTGATGGAGATAACCTGTCCACCAAGCCTTCTTCCTCTACCCCGCCACAACAATCAGAGCTGACAGTGACTCAGATAAGCCCAGAGTCAACAGATCACGAACCATTACCGGGGGCGGAACCCGTCAACTCTGAGGCACCATCCACTCCAGAACTTCTAGAGGAAGAGGAAATTGTTGACACTCCAAGTTCATCACCAACAGACCGAACCGAACCATCAACGAGTAATCCCACCATAGAGAACCAAGACAAACCACCGGATGACAAGATCACAATCCCACCTGATGATTACCGACCAGCCAGTAACATCAAGGAAACGAGGGACGGCCTAACCTTCGTTCGAGGGAATATTGCTCATTTCCTAGCAGCCGATGCAGAACCCACAAAACAGAATACCAAGCTCCTGTGTGACCTGAATCTCATCGATTTAACCTACATCAAGAAATTGAACCCTCAATTGGGACAGGTCATTGTTACCAGATCCGGAAAGTTCAGAACCTTCACCTTAATGGTGAAACAGTATCATTTTGATCAAACCCAAAACAGAATTCTGAAGACCTGTCTAAAGAACCTGAAACTCACAATTGAAAAATACGAAGTCTCGGAGGTGAAAATGTTGATGAAAGGAGACGAGATTGATGAGGATATCCGGATAAAATATCACCTAGAACAGGAATTCTACCTTCACCCTGTTACAATCACCCTGTGTCATGGAAACGTTCGAATGCCTCCCGAAGGATTAAGATCAGAAATCATCAAGGAGTGTCATGAGACGCTTCCTGGAGGACACAAGGGAATCGTTACAACTTTCCATAGAGTTAGAGAAAGATTCTGTTGGCCAGGGATGAAACAAGAAATTGAAAGAATGGTCAAGAAATGCCGAGTCTGCCAACTACAAAAGATCAGACGAATAAAATTCAAACAACCAATGCTGATCACAGAAACTCCCAATGAATGCTTCGAGAGAATATCTATCGACACTGTGGGGCCACTACCTCGTATCTCCTCAGAGCATTTACATATTCTTACCATTCAAGACAACTTCGCAAAACATTGCACCGCCATCCCACTAACAGACATCAGGGCGCAAACCATCGCTCATGCCTTGGCGACCCAATACGTAGCCCTGTACGGTTGCCCAAGGGTAATTCTCTCTGACAAGGGAACGAGCTTCCTCAGCAAACTGTTCCATCATCTTGGTAAATTGCTGCGATTCCATCATGTTACCACCTCAGGATACCGGCCCCAATCCAACAGCGCCCTAGAGAGAAGTCACCACACTCTGGTAGAATACCTCAAAGCATTCGCGACAGAGACCAAGGAATGGGACGAACTACTACCTTTTGCAGTACTGTCATACAATACCACAGTACATAGTGCAACCCAGTTTACCCCATTCGAATTGCTATACGGGAAAAAGGTCAGACTCCCATCTAACATCTGCGAAGAGGATCAAACCATCGAAACTTACAACGACTATGTAATTGATTTAATGCTTAAAATGGAGAAAATCCAAGAACTAGCGCACCAACATCTCCAAGCATCTAAATTGCGCTCAAAACAGCTATACGATAGAAACGCAAGACCAGTGGACATTAAAATTGGGCAGTTTGCTTACGTCCAAAAAGAACCAAAACTAGGCAAACTAGACCAAGCCTATACTGGGCCTTACGAAATAGTCGATATCACCGAGAAGGGGAATGTTTACCTCGAGAGCGAGGACGCTCATCGCTTCATGAAGCATCCGAATAAATTGAAACCCTGCAAAGACTAACTATTACTAGTGCTGCCCAGGGCTACCAACGATGCATTTCACCCATCAACACCCATGTTACAGAATATGCAAAAAAAAGAACCTCAGTATACGTGGACGGGTCTTGCTCATTCAACGGTATGACTAACGCTAAAGCAGGGATCGGAATCTGGTTCGGAGAAGGACATCCCCTAAACACTTACAAAACTCTCGACGGAGTTCGTGCAACCAATATCATCGCAGAAACCGCAGCTGCTGTCGAAGCATGTAAGATTTGCCTGAGACATGATATCAACCACATCACAATTTTCACAGATTCGAAATACTTAACCAGCTGTATGACCCAACATCCCCTGAAATGGCAGAGCAATGGATGGCTCAACTCCAAAGGAAAACCCGTAGTAAACCAAGAAACGCTACAGAAATTGGATGACATCGTGCAACAGTTAGACGTCCAGCTGACATATATCCCAGGACATAAAGGGATATATGGTAATGAACGAGCCGACGAACTAGCGAAATTAGGATCAGAAATCGATAAAACATCAGCATAGCCGAACGATACCCAATAGCACCAATATTAAGTGACTTGCCAAAACCACTAAACCCAATGTCAACATTGAAACAACACGTCTTACCCAATCTCGACAAAGACCATCTGTTTGATGACTCGCTTCAAAGCACCATAGATGAAGCAGAGAGAATTGGATTGCATCACCAAGAAGACTACTACCATCGCATCTTTACAGCAACCAATGGCACCATCACACTAATCATATCACTCGTAGTTACCATGATGGGGTACAGTGCCTACAAAAAGGGATTCAATGTGCTTAGCATCCTCCGCTGCTGTTGCCGAAAAACTAGAAAATCAACTAGACAGGCGCCAAAAAAAACAGCAATCCGACGATCCCACATCCAAAGGGTCTACGAAACACCGATCAACTCCATCTCGATGCCAGAACTATCCATCCCAGCATTGCCAGCACCAACATCGCCAATCCCAACAGTGTCGGAACATCAGAAAGCCTCCGGAACTATCAATGCACCAATGAAGAAATCACCAGCTTTCGTTACCATTGATTACATGTAATGTATGAATCTGTTACAAAACAACTCGAGATCTATCTCTATCCTAAAAAAAAAAAAAATTAAAAATTCTAACCCTAACAGTTATCATAACAAGTTAAATAAATTACTAAGTAATTAAGTACGACTATATATATATGTCTACATATATACACATATGTATTTATATCCATCTCACAATACATACACGGTGCTGAAGCATATATTAACAATCTATATTTGGGTATGTATATATATGTGTATATACCACTCAGCCAACAATCGGCCGACAGAGAGCCACCGTCAAGAGAAGGGACAAAAAGGGTCACGCCGATGAATCATCCTAAGACAGAAGATCCTTAGATTCCGAGATTAGAATCCCAACGGACATCATCTTCACCCTCAAAAATCCCCCTTTCGGTACACAACTACTCCCCGTCACTCCAATCTTCATATGAACTAAAAAAAAAAACAAAATAATAAAAATAAAAATATGTATATATATATTTTTTTTTGAATATATATATATATATACATATATATATATTAATTATAAATAATTCGATTCACTAAAAATCCCAATTTAGATTACTCACGATAATTTAAACTCCCCCCCACATCTATTCGCATGCCGAGGAAACCAGGAAAAGAATTTAGCATCAGGTAACCATTTGATCATCCTGATAATACGCAGCCCACACCTTTCACAAATATAAAGTTTATCCAAACCTATCCTCCTCAATCTCTTCCAGTCCACATCACTTTCATCTTCAATATCACACAAATATATACATAATAATTATCTTTCCTGAAGAACACAGCAGCAAATCAACCAATAACTCAAAATAACACCTGTTGCGACCCACGTGCTAATCAATCGGAAATAAAAATGTTGACCGACAAGCACTCATCGCCGTGACCCAGTGCCCCAGTGCCTCTGACGGCCGGATTTGCATATTAATTAATCCAGCCACGCCCCCACACTTACCGACAACACCAGTCAATCAAAAGCGCGCGATACCGACAGCAGATTGAAGAATCTACAAGCGTGCCAATCCAATTTTCGATTCCTTATAAAATAAAATACAAAAAAAAATAATAATCTGATTCGTTTCTCTCTGATAAGATTTCCTTCACCATAAAAAAAAACATGGGAAAAGAAAGCTTCTCAGCGGGGGCTGTAATGTCCAAATTATTTTAATTTGATTTTATCGCCTAAAATACCCGAAATTGTAGCGACTTAAATATTACTTTTCAACATACATGAACGATGCCAGTGACCAGAGAATGCGCAACGTATGCATTTCTCAGGGGCCAACAGCACCCCAAAATGCAAGTTGACAAAAAAAAAATACAAAGAATAAAAGTTAGTTCGATGACCGAAGAATAAAGAAATGAAAATGACACCTCCCCCACTCTGGGATCCGGCCAGTCGAACTTTTCCAAATCAGTCTCTAAAAACCCTCTCGCGAGTGACTATCAATTTCTTGGTGGAAAATTTCTTTGGAATCGGTCTGACTTTTGTTCGGTTTTCGAATAGAGTAATTAAAAATCGAACTATTCTCGAATAATAGTAGAGAATAGAAACCGGCAATAGATCAGGAATACAGTATTCTTTAACCGACGGTAAAAGTGTTTCTTACAAGTGAAGAGAACTTGTTGTGAACGACCGGTGGGTGTGGCTCAATTAGTTATAAGTGCTGGACATTTAAATTCTAACAATATAAAACCAAATTTCTCATAATAAGTGGAAGAAAGGCTTCTCGCCTAAGTATTTGTGATAGTTTACTGGCAGAGAAACGTGGCAGGATTGCCCTAGGAATCCACAGTCAAAAAGTTGACACCGCAATAGGATAAGGATTATAAATATCAAAATTATGTGAGTCCAATGAACAATCAAATCATAATAAATTCGATCACGGAAATAATTGCAAGGATAGAGATAGAAATTCTATTGATTTACTCATTGTTTTTGTGACCTAACGAAAAGTAAATAAATAAATACGTGAACTGAACTACCTTCAATTCTCTTCTTGTCTTTCCTATTTTTGAATAAACCAAAATTTACATCTATTATCAATTCTCCAAGGTAAGAATATAAAAAAAAAGCTTAGCGTCGTCCAAAATTTCAATTAAACAAATTCTAGCTTTATTAAGGAAAATTAATGAAAAGTAAATAAAGTTGTTCCTCGACGCTGATAACGTCTTCGGACATAACAATTACAAAGATGGGGATGAAATTCGGAATCTATCCTGAATAGGGATCTCTGATTGCATGAAACATGTCAGCATTTCAGTTTACATGTTTCAAAAAGAATTGATACTTTTTCTGAAATCTCAATTTGAGAAGATTGATAAAATTCATTACATTTCTGATGGGGCGCCATCCCAATTCAAGGATAAAAATGCGTTCGTGAGTTTGCTTTATCATAAGAAAGATTTCGAAATTCCAGCTGCATAGAATTTTTTCCCCACAGCTCATGGAAAAACCGCGTCTGATGGTCTAGGGGGCTCATTCAAAAGGAACGCCTGCCGAGCTAGTCTCCAAGGACTTATAAATATCACAGTAGCTCAATCTTTATATGAGTGGTCTCACTCTAATGAGAGAAACGTGAAATTTGAATTCGTACCCAATTCACAATATGAGTTGACTAAGCAAATTCTGGAACCTAGAACAGCAAGAGCATTGGGAATTCCTGGGACGAAAAAATTCCATGCAATGATTCCTGGAGAGGTTGATACCCTAGTGTCTCAAATTTATGGCAAAGCCACAAAGTTCGTGGAAATGAAACTCCTTCGTACGGAGAAGTGATCGGGAACTTCTGGTAGCTTAAGTAATGTGAATGGGAGAGCTGATGATTCATTATCTGTATTTTGTTGGTATAAATGACACCACGTTCAGCTCTATTTCAAGTCGGATACTATATTGTCGCAAAGAATTTCGATAAAATTGAGTGGATTCTGTAATCCTTGAAAAAAAAATTTCCCAAGTTTTGAATTTCATTTATTAGAAGGGTAAGATCTTCAGTGCAGGAAAATTTGAAAAGTGATTTCGATCGGAAATTTTCCGAGCTTTTCAATAGAATTTTTTTTTTTTTTCAACGTGGGGAACACCTCGAAATCGGCGTTTCAAACCATTCCAAGCCCTTTCCACACTAAAGGAGTTGAAAAAAAAATTGACGCCTGATCAATTCATTTTTGATAACTTTTAATGCTTGAAAAATTGAATTGAAATTTTTTTTACCGAAATCTTCATTTCACTCTTACTCAGCCAATGTTTGAGATAGAGGGCTGAGTGAGTGTTTATTTTCTTTTATTTCACGTATATTATTGCAATTAAATGCGAAATCCAGGTTCGGAAAAATGACGAGAACACCTTGTGCTGATATTTGGTGGAATCGCCCCAATATTAAATAAATATTTCTGCCGGGCTGAGACGGGAGCAAGCTTATTGAGAACCGTTATGTGATGAGATGATTGCTGGAGGGTAATGTCTCGCAACAGTGTTAATGCAGGTATCAAACCTGTCTTCCAACCCTATGGAGCGTCTAAACATGTGCTCGGCAAGGTATCCGTGGAAGTACACTGCACTTATGGCACATCACTTCACTAATAACACATTTCGGTCTGTGAGGAACTGAGGGACTCGCTTCAGATCTGAACACGAATCGAATCGCTCATCCAGCTTCATGTCTACCGCACAACAGAGTTGCCACATCTGAGAACACAGTTCGTATTCTATATATACGGCACCCAGTCTTCCGAATAATACGACAAACGGTACGTATTAATTTGGTTGACCTAATGCCGCTGCCTTTATTGCGTACATCATAATATTCATCACCTCTTAATCTTCAAAGACCCACTTCCGACACTCAATTCAATCTTTGAAACCCTTGAAATTCCTTCATTTATCGAATATTGTACGCGATAAATGAATTTCATATGGGGCCGTCTTTCTTAACATTTACCGAAAATCGGGAAATGTAAAAATAAAGAAACTTTAGTTGAATGGAAAAATACCTCGTATAGAATTTAGCCACATGAGTCAAATACAATCTCAAAATCTCAAATTTTCATTAAAAAAAATTTATTTATGAAGACTGAGTGTAGACGAGTAGTCGTTAAGAGAGTGATATGTGCGAAGGGGAAAATATAGGGAGTCTGGAAAGGATAGGGGGTCTTCGCCGATGATCACTCAGCAATATCTAGCAGCTGGATTTCCGGAGGATCTATCGACAGGACGAAGTCCTTTGTGACGAAAACCCGTGGAAATATGACGGTTAAACCAAAATAAAAAGGATAGAAAACTCTGGGGAAGCAATATGCCACTCAAAAGGTGCAATCGTGCCTCCAGCTTCGAGCTTGATCTCCATTAGGAGCGTCGTGAGGTCATCTGAATTCCAGGAAGCTCACGAGCTACTTATTTTCGGTTTTCAGGAGTTTCGAGTCAACGAAAAGCCTTAAATTGATCAATTAAATCATTGAGGAACTTTACTGAAGAAGATCACTCTATTGAGGCTGCTATTCGCTCGGATAAAGGATTATGCCGCCATGTAAACTGCTGCTACATCCACGACGCCGGAGAGCGGATGTGCACTTATTTTCATGCTTTCTTCCCATCTTATGCCCTTAATCTGGCCTCAAACACTTCATAAACCGTCTGCGACCGATCGGGAACTAATTAAACACACGAATGGTGGGTTAATTGTGCTCCAAAGTCTGTCATTGTCAGAGAGG